GCTGGGAAAATTGGATACCCACATGCAGAAGAATAAAAGGAGACCCTTATCTCTCACCAGTTGCAAAAATCAACTTTAAATGGATTGAAGACTTAAATGTGAGCTCTGAAACTGTTCAGAGAAAATAGATGGAATGCTTCAGGATATTAGAATGGGCAAGGATTTATTGAACAAGACCCCCAAAACACAAATAACAAGTGAGGTCATATTAAAGAAAAAGCTTCTGCATAGCAACAGAGACAATCAGCAGAGTGAAGACACGATCTACAAAATGGGAGGTAGTATTTGCAAACTAACCCTGTAATGAGGAATTAATATCTAGATAGATATAGAACTAAAATAACTCAATAGCAAAAAAGCCAAATAACCCAATTAAAAATGGGCAATAGGCCTAAATACATATTTATCAAAAGATACAAATGACCAAAAGATACATAGAGAATATCAATAATGATCAATATCATTAATCATCAGGGAAATGCAAGTCAAAACAAGATATCACCTCATCCTAGTAAGAATGACTATTGTCACAAAGACAAAAGATAGCAAGTACTGGCTAGAAGGAAGAAATAAGAAAACCCTGCACACTATTGGTGGGAATATAAATTAATGGAGCCATATGGAAACCAGTGTGGACATTACTTGAAAAATCAGAACCAGAACCACCATATGTCCTAGCAGTGAATCCCACTCCTGGGTATACATCCCAAGGAAATGGGACCTGAAGGTTGAAGAGACATCTGCACTCCCACATTCACTGCAGCAGAGCCAAGGAAAAAAAATGGATCACCTGATGAGTGGATGAACAAATGTACTACATATATAATATGAAATACTGTTCAGCCAAAAAAATAATGAAACCCTGTCATCTGCAACAATGTGGATAGAGCTATAGATCATTAAATGAAATTAGCCAGGCACAGAAAGATCACTTGATCTCACTCTATATGGACTCTAAAAACATTGATTCCATAGGAGTTGAGAGTAGAATTGTGGTTACCAGAGGCTGGGGAGAAAGGGGAGGAGGGCGAGATGGGGAAAGGTTGATCAGCGGCACTAAGGTACAATAAGTTAGAATAAAGTTCTGGTGTGCTATTGCATGGTAGGGTGACTACAGAAAATGATAATATATTATGTTTTTGAAAAAGCTAGAAGAAATGATTTTGAAAGTTTTCACCAATGATAATTTTTAAGGAGATAGATATATGTAACATGATCTAAACATGACACACATGCATGTATTGAAACATCACATGGTACCACATAAATGTTTTTTGTTTGATGTATTAGTTAAAAATTAAATAAAATAAATAAAAGCAACATATCCTTAAAACAAAAGGGTAAGTATAAAAGAAAGTAATTAATAGTAAATTGAAATATAATCCAGGAATTTTTATGTAGGTGGTAATCTATCCTCAGAACTTCCTTAAACAATTTCAAAGTCACTATTTAGAATTTTTACAAACAGCAGATATTTTGAAGAGCAGATACTATTTGGTACCTTCACTACATGGTTGAAATTGTGATAAATGGGGGAAAATATGTATAAACATAGATTATGAATACTCAATGCTGAATGTGATCCTGCTCAACTTCTTTGCACCAAAATCATGGGTATTAAAACAGATCCTGAAAATTAAGGTATTCTATGGATGGGAATGGCAGATAGACATTTAGTTAAGGTTGGGAAGAAAGTCAGAAAACAAGACAAATAAACCAACAAAGAGAACCTGCTACTGACATGCAATACTTTCTTCAGCATGATGTGTAATCTTTCAGGTGGGTGAGAATCCTGCTGTACTCTCTGAAGAGATATTCTGCCATGAAAACAATATTCTGCAAACTTTCTCTAATCTATTGCATTTATAGCTTCTTAAATTTAATAAAATATGATGTTTACTGTGTCAAATAGTTAACTGAATGTAAAACAACAAATAAATCCAAAATCTTTTTGACTTGACTTGATTTTTTCCCTTGTCCTTCTGAGAATCTGTGAGTACAGGATAAAAGGCCAGCATTTTCTTCATGCAATCTCTTCCCCAGATGTGGAAATGCCTAGCTGGAGTAATCATTGGGTTCACTTTTCAAAAGAATAATAAAGAGCTGCCCCTTATTCCCTCCATAGAGTCACACTGACATGGAGCAATCAAAGTAACCCATTATCAGAGAATCCCCTGCTTTGTTCAAATTATAAACATCAATGGGCATCTCTCCTGGGACCTCAGACAGCATGCAAGTGTGGGTGAGGTAGGCTGGGTGTTAGCAGGATAAACTAAGTTTGCTTGACGCTTTGTTTTAGCAAAGACACCAGAAAGTGTTATTACGGTTCACTTGGGTTTTGCACTGATCATCAAAATGCTGACAGTCACTTTAATCACTCACTGGGTGGAATAATCATCCTGAAAGGAATTGAGAGGGTACAGCTTATATTATAAAATGGAACTGAGCACATGAGACAGAGTATTAACGGGTGTGGCAGAAGAGATCTTTCTCAGAGTTACAGAGATGATTAAAGACGTGAATCAGACATCATCTCCACCGGGTACTCTTAGTGACATGAACACAACAGCTAAATTGCACAATTACAAAGTTAAGCATAACTCAGAGAGCATCTTTCTCCTTTTGAAGCAATTGATGCCAAGCTAGCCTGTTTGAATCACTCAGTGTTTTGCCTTAGAGATGGTGAGGGATCTTGCCTGTGCAGTCCTTTGAGACTGCATAGGATAGAAATCTGGAATGCTATGCCAATGGAAACAAGATCATATTACAATTAGACACTGCTGGCCACCACATGAGAGGATCCCTTGTAAACATCACTAAGAAACCTTCCCAAGCAGCCCTGCATTTGCAGGAGCCACAAGAAGTCAAGAGGCATGTGGTCCCTTTTATAGAGCTGTTCATTTTGATATTAGTAAACAGAAAATTAGCCCTTTCTGACTGGGGGTGGGGAGAGTGGGCTTGTCTGGGAGATAAAATGGACAATTTCAACTACTGCTTGTGATAGAACTGCCTGCTACTATGAGGTTCTAAAGTTGGAGGGCCTTTTAAGTATATCTCCTCACAGAGTCAGCTCAAATACAATACTATATTTACTAGGCGTATGCATTTTTTATTTTTATGGATTTCTGAGAATAAGTGTATAATTTTGCCATCAGATAAAAGTAATATTTTAAATAAAAATATAAAAATTATGTTATAAAAATAAAAGTATAAGTAAAGAATAATATTTTAAGAAGATTTCTAAAGTAGATGATAAAATCTCCCTTAAAAGCCCACTCCCTCTGTCCCTTCTACCTGCCCTTTGTTGGCCCTCAGAGTAGGGACGTAATCAGCATGAGATTGCAGGCAGAGTGAGCATTCAAAGAAGGTCTCGGACTCAGCTATGGATCCTGTATTTCAGGGAATAATTTACCCCTGTGAAATTCATCCACTCCTTTTCTATCTTTAGGCTGGAATCATGGTTAATCAAGTAGGAACTTCTCAAACGACAGTGATGGTAACTCAAGAGTCCACAGTCCAAACAACATCGCATTTTCTAATAATCATCTGACAGTTAACCCTAAAGTGAAATACAGAGCTGATTTTGCTGCTTTCTTCCTCCTGTTGCTATGTGCTTTTTGCTATCTTGTTTTTGTTTCTCCATTCATACATCTAAACCTGCCTTTTCCTTTATTCCTTCTTCACATCAGTTTTTCTTGGTCTCTATTTTAACTACATCTTACATACATACTCTTAAAGCAATGCTGTAGAAAAAGTATTTATTTTATCACCATTAAAAGTTTATGTGCCCTAAAGTTTTCAAATTATTTTTTTCTGAGTCATTGGTCCTTGGTCGAGAAAGTTTTCCCATTCTTATTTCACACTCTATTCTTTAATTTCCTTGAAATCTATAATTGTTATCTCTCAGCCATCTCTTTTCCAGAATAATTGCTGTCCTCATTACCTCTATTTTCTAGCACCTTAATTGCTTCTATTATTCTCTTTTTAGACACTTTTTATTAGCTTTATATCAAGTTAAAATGAGAACGTAGCCATGCACTCAACCCTGAGCTCTGAAACAATTTCTGCTGAGGGCCATTGCCAAGTAGGAATGACGCATCAAAATTTCCTTGCCAGCGTACCCCATGCTGCTTAGAGGACATTCGATGGGACATTGCATGTATGCTTTAGTAAGGTGACCTTGCTCAAAGACCAGGGAGGATCCGGGTTTAGACCTGATCAGGTTTGAGGAAGTTTCCTTGAGTTTAAGGCGTTCCCTGTTTAAGACAATAGGGGTTTTAGGGAAGTTGGAGGTTGAAGATTATTGCTGCTGGGATTAGGGTGTTCCTGCTGCTTGTTCCCGTTGAGTTCTTGTGAGATTCTAATGGGATTTGGAAAAAGCCTCGTGGAGTAGGTAAATTGGGCGGAGAGATTTTAGATTGCCCCTGAACCTGTGTGGAGGCGGTGTGAGTTCGGGAATAAAGAATTGCTGTTTGAATCTACAAAGCTGTGTGGTGCCTCCTGATCTTGTGCCAAGCCAAGACTGTGGCAAATTTCTGCCCTTGAGAAGCTATTGTAAGGAGGACCATAGGTACTGCTTTCTGTTCTTGAGACACAGTGGTTCAGTCTGACAGGATTTTATGTTTCTAGGGCTTAATATAAACCCTGTTAACATGAGCCTTTCCTGACTGTCCACACCCAACTCAGGGAAATTAGATTAGCTCCTTTCCAGAATTATAAAGTAGTAGAGATCAGTACAGATGGAATTCAGAGATCTAATAGGATCTTCTGACACTCTTTTCTTTTTGTTTGCTTGTTTGTTTCATTTTTTGAAGTGCTAGGAAATCACACCCTGGGCCTTGTGCGTGCCAGGCAGGTGCTCTACCATCCCCAGTCTCAGATCTTCTGACAATATGGCACACGCCCTGTCCTCATATTGTGACAGAAAGACACATTTCAAACAACAGCACTCAGACTGGTTCCTCCACAGTCCTCACAATCTTGTCCTACTAGAGACTTACTCTGGGATGTAGACAGATTGGAGAAAGCTGACTTTGTTCGGCCTGCCAACCATTCCAGGCTTTCATGCATGTTTGCCAAGGCTTTGAGGTCACTGACGTCACGCAGAATGTCTTGTGGAGGGATTAACTTATCACCCAGGTTCCCAATGAGAACTTCGGACTCCTTGCCAAAGGCGGCCCTGAAAAACAAATGAGGAACACATTTCACCCACAGCACAGCGAAGGCAGAGATGTGTGACGCTTTTGAAGGCATACTGGCGCAGTCACTGTTTCACTTTGTGCTGTGTCCTAGGCTTAACTTCGTGACAGAATGGTCATGTGCTGGCTTATACTTATTTGTGGGAAAAAGAGTTCTTGGAAGAAGAAAGAGGTAACCCCACTGGTTGCAACTTTAGGAGGAACCAGTATGGGCCCTGTGACAGTGACAGCCCCCACGGATGGTTCTTGTGCTACTCTCTTGTGGGGTCTTTCCTTACTGCTTCTCCAGCTGTGGAAGAGGCACCTGGAGTTTTCTCTGAGTCCCCCTAATGAACAGCTTAGGGTGCCAAATATGGTTAGTGTTTCATCATAAACAAAACAAAACAAAAGACCAAGTTAATCCAGTGGCTAGAAAACACTTTAAAATGTTCAAAAGCAAAGAGGACCCGGTCTCTTTGAGGGAGCAGGTTATATCTGAGAAGGATGACTGGTCTTATTCATTTACTTATTCTGAAATATCTGATGCAAATAAACTGTAAGCATCACTTGGAAAGAGAAACCTATAAAAACCAATGCCAAGTTCCTTTACTAACTGAAACGATATAATCAGGTAGGTTTCACACAGCACCCAATATCTTCAAAATGTTTTCAGGGGTGGAAAAATCAAGTTACATGGGGTTACAGAGAATAGATCTGGAAGGGACCCTGGAGACCACATGTCATAACCACCGCAGAGATGAAGAAATGGGGACTGAGAAAGTGAACTGCTTTGTCTATGTGACACATGAGCGGCAACGCTGGGCTCACGTTGCCTGGTTTCAATAGCTCTCTTTCTTTCCAAAACAGAGAGGGCTAAAATAAGAAAAGATGACTGAGGATAGTGGAAAGAAAAACTATGTTTTTTGAGGAAAATTACACAGGGCAGGTAAGCAGAGTTGATGCTTGGGGAGGTAGGAAGAGGCATCGGGAGCTTTCTCTAAGTCCCACAACTTTTAAAACACAGAACACCTTAAGTGAGAAGATGCAAGGGCTTTATTTAAGTAGAACAAGGTGAATTAAGTTTCAAGCAAGCAATGAGTAACAACAGGCGAACTACAGTCAGAAGGTGTTTAACTGACAAATAGATCCTTAGAGCCCAGCACTATAGCACTCAACGCTGAAACTACTACCATGATTAGATGTCTATTAAAAATGCTTATGCTACCAAGCAGTGACTCAAGATTAACCTTATTTCAACAGAGGACTGCCTTTTTAAATGGAAAAGTCATAGATGATTGACTGATTTGAGTAAGTCCTGGTTTTAGGGACAATAAAGTACAATGGACTGAGCACATGAAATTTGAGTGTACCAACAAATCTTATCTGGGATCTTATAAAAGGTCTTGTTGTGGGACCCCAAATGCTGCATTTCTAACTAGGTTCCAGGTGATTCCCAGGCTATTTAGTCTGAGTAGCAAAGGTTAAATTGCAGTCTTCCTTAAATTGCAGTTTGAATCCTGAGTCTGCTACTAGCTCACTGTAGGATGCTGCTTAATGTCCCTGAGCATGAAGTAATGCAACAATCAGATAAGGTGATTTTTAAAACTTTCTTCTTCTTTTCTTAATGGTACTGGAGACTGAATCCAGGGATGCTCTACCATTGAGCTTTGTTCCTAGTCCTTTTTATCTTTTGAGATAGGGTCTTGCTAAGTTGCTGAGGCTGACCTTAAACTTGCAATCTTTCTGCCTCAGTTTCCTGAGTAGTTGGGATTCCAGGCATGTGCCAATACTGTACCCAGCAATTTTTGACTCTTTTTATTGGGAAAATTTCAATTTCAGAGAGAAGAGTATTACAAACTCCAGTTACACATATTCCAGTTCAACTGTTAGAAACTCAACATAGAATTTACTGTCCTTACCTCCTCTCCCTCTTGGAATACTTCAACAAAAATCATTCAGGTGATGCTTTTAAGAGTGTATCACATTGCTTAGAACTCAGTAAAGGTCGTCAGTTGAAGCTATTACTATTCTTAGGTCTGCTGAGATGGCTAGTTATTTAGAGTCAGCCCAAGGCATGTGATGATGAATAAATTAAACAGGTAAGAGTGAGCAGCAGGAAATAAATTAGTTCTCATTTAACAAATGGAACCTCATGACACTATAGCATGTGTCCCTGTATCTCACAGAATCTTTAAGAGGTAAATTATTGTGACAGAAATCACTACCCTACCCAATACTCAATATCCCATGTCTTTCTGGTAAGAGGAGCCTGGTATTGTTAGTAATAAACCCCAATTAAACTGAAAATGAACCAAAACAAAAAGTCCACTAAATTTCCCTGTCCCTCTTGTGGATGTGATGACCTGTGACATGTAAACTGAAATCAGATGGGCTTCTAGAAAGCTCTTTCTCTGTTAAACTTAGTTGGCAGGGACCTCTTTTGCCTTCCCACTTTCTGGAATGCAGCCATAGCAACTGAGCTCTTCTCAAACATCAGGTGACCTTGAATGTGGAAGTAAGTGCTGCTATAATGGAGCAGAAAGATAAGAGGATGCAGGCACTGATGACATCATGGAGCTGCAAACCTCCCAGACAATATGCTTCTGGGCTTCAGGTCATTGCAGAGCAATAGAAACCTTCTTTGTTTAAGTCACTGATATTTCAAGTTTCTGTTACTAGCTGCTAAATGTAATTTCTAATTGACACAATCATCTGATTAGCATAAATGATGTCATCCTCAGAAAACTTACTCTGTATGTATATATCCCTAAAATCCATTTATTGGGAAAGCAAAACCATGTCCCTTCTGTGATTGAGTCCAGAAGACATTTCTAATATCTTCCCCTTGGCTGTCACCCAGTCAAATTGTAAATATTTAGTTTTCTTAATCTGTTCTTATATATCAACTCTTCCAGCCCTTGATCATCTTTGATAGATATAACACAAAGAATGCCTGCAAGCTGGGTGGTTAAAAAGCAACAGGGGAGGCAAACAGCTTTGAAAGCCAGGCTTGAAGCCATTTTTATGCATGTAGGTGTAACCCTGGGTGGAATGTGACAATCAAGACGAATGTTAAATTTATGTAGAAGGCTAATCTGTGAGAGGGCTCTGTGGGCCCCAGGCATGTCTGCTGTGCTTCCAGCGCTGGATGCCTGTCCCATTTCCCTTTGGCTCACCCAGATTTGCTTAACCTCTTTAGATGGGAGAGCAATAGACTGAGAAAAATACAAACTGCCTCATGTTGAATACATAGTAGACATCTCATTTGACAGGAATCCATAATCGCCCCCTAAGAACCTGGAATGAGCACAGAAGCCACGGCATGGAGGATAACTGATTGACAGCTGTAACCATCTCACACAAAAACCATTCCTTCGAGGATTTGTGGGTATGAGAGAGCTTGGTGGAAGGTTTTTATATGTAACAATAACCTTAGAGGGCTGGCTTTAGCTGCCTGACTACAGATTTTTCCCTAAACCCTCTGATTTATTAAATTACAGTATATCTATGCTATGAAAACTTATGGAGTGATTAGAAATTACATAGTACAGAATACTTGATATCATAGGAAAATGTTTGGTATTACTTATTTCTAGCCATGATATGTAGTTGAGTAAATAAATTATTATTAAAATGTATACACTGTATAATAATACAAAATAATTATATATATAAACTGGAAAAAGGATTGGATATCTAGATACTGAAAGTATTAACTATGTGACTGAATCATGCTTTTTGCTCTTCTGTACTTTCCTCATTTCTTCAAGAAACATGTTTATTTTTTAATTAAAGGAAATACCGAGGGCTGGGGTTGTGGCTCAGCGGTAGACCACTTGCCTAGCATGTGTGAGGCGCTGGGTTTGATCCTCAGCTCCACATAATAATAAATGAGGCCTGCACCGCTACCGCCATTGCTGCTGCCTCTAATTCCACTGCTGCCAGCCTGGGGTCGCCTGGAGGTCTTCCTTCTGGGTGTTGCTGCCACAGAAGAAACCACTGCCCTGGATGCAACTGAAGCCAACACTGCTGCTGACCTGCTGCCTGCTGTCAACAACCACTACTGCCACCCCAGCCTAGAGGACTGTTTCGGAGGAGACTCCAGGTTTGGTTGCACGTGGCTGCATGTAGTTTGGGACACCAGCCAAAGCTTGAGGCCTGGGTGCCAGCAGGTTTACCACCACAAAAGCCTCTGTCTGGGGATTCCAGCTAAGACTACAGGTCCAGTGTGGGGTGCCTGCAGGTTTGGAGGAGCCTGGGTGTGGTCTTCCTGCTGAGAGTGCTGGTGGCCCTTGCCTTACTGCCGCATCTCATAGTTGCTCCTTTGCATGAGTGTATCCCTGGTGATCTCTCTGCAAGTAGGAGCAGCATTGAGATCTTGGGACTGCAGTGTAGCCAACCCTGAGGTATATGAAGCTCAGATTGGTGGGACAGGACTGGGTTTGAAAGCGCTAATCTGGGTTTGGTGATCCCAAGAGACATTAGAGACAGGGCTGAGAAACTGTTGAACACTGACAGAGACAGTTCGACTTTCCAGCAAGATTTATTTTATTTTTTTGATTCACTAATCTCTCTACCATATTTGGAACAGGATGTTTTTATGCATCAGTGTGTGGAGGACCATGATATATGAATGGTGTTTTGCATTTTTGTTGTATTCTTATGTCTTTAATTGTTCTCTTTGTTCGTATTCTTTCTCTCTCTTGTCTATTTTGTTTCCAACTTTTCTCCAACCAACAACCAATCTATTTCAGCTCCTCTTCCACTCTTCCTGTGAATTTTTACTTCTAACTTCTCTCTTCCTCCCTTGTGAATACTGCATATTATACTATCTCTGTTCTCTCATCTACCATTTGAAATTGTAAATCATTTTAACAAATATTCTCTTTGTACTGTAGATAGCAAATATACTTTCTTCTCAGCAGCATTCTCATTTCAGAACTCATCATTTTGGTTTAATGTGAGAAAGCAGTAGACGCCTTAGTGGGAGCTATTAGGTTTA